TAAGAGTAACGTATAGGAGTTTAGGGAGTAGAATCTGGTTGAGTGTGAGAGATGTTAGGGCAAATAACGATAAGAAAAACAGACTGATGTAGCGACTGATAGATACAATCAGGTGAATCTTGTCAAAACTAGTCAATAAATTATTAAAATCTGGAGAACGCTTAATGTAGCGCTGCTTATACATGTTCTAAACAATCTTGTGGTATGATACAGCTATATTTAAACTATTAATCAGCCACTTGTTAACCTACGGTTCTGAGCACTTTGATAGAAATATATTACAATGACTTAACTACGGGTAACTTCACGACGATTACAATGACCACAGAGATATTCTGACAACAGACGACTGACGAATCCAACATGCAAAGCAATTTTATTTGTAACAGTGATTCTAATTGAAAGTAGAACTTCACGACAGTGTAAGTGAATGTATAATGCTTGCTTCGTTAACTGTTTTATTGCACAACTGTCTTCCAATTGTTACAATTAAATAAAGTAATGGCACCAGGATACCGGTTTTGGAAAGCACTTTTGATTACTTTAAAGACGAGTACTTACATTCAAGTCATCAGCACAAAAGTTATCTTGTATCTAAGAACAACTGGGTACAGAAACAAATAAAAAGGAAACCTAAAAATAAATGGCAGGGTTTACACACATCGGAAAAGTAAAAACAGAAATTTGAAAACGATTTGCGAAACTCTTAAAAGTGGCGAATTGTAATTGAGATACCACTGAAAGAGATAGTCTTTTGAAAGATTATCGTCTGTTTATATACTGTTCCAGCCTTGTATGGCTTGCCATCAGTTTTTCAAGAGGATTTTAGGACCAGATCAAAAATCATTCTCTGTAGTTCTTGACTGTTGTTTTGCGTACGGTCATGACAAGTGTGATACGAAAAAAAAAAAACAAAACAAAAGAGTTTGATGGAACTCAAATAAATATAACTCGTAAATAATACTCAAAAAGATAATGTCATGTTTTACATTGAAAAACATTTCTGAATTTTACCGTCATTTTTTTGTCTACAGTTGTAATTTTAAGTTCGATTGAAAAAACATCAGTAAACCTTTTAGCCAACAATTATTTAACTTGTGACAGTCGTTAATAAGTGATATTTCTTTGTCTAGATTTCCTAAACTTTATGTTTCTAAAAAAAGTAAAATGTTTCAGATCATTTCTTATTATTTTCTTCACTATTATAATTCGGTAAAAATAGTCTTCATTGAAAGTATAAATAGCAATTTTTCTAGATTTTCAAATTGGTTTTGATTGTCGCGTTTAGCAATTAAAGTTTAGTACGTTATTGTGTGAAGTAAAATAGACTGTGCAAACAGTTATTGTAATCTTCCACTCAGAAGCAAATTGCAGACTAAAGAAAGCTTTTTTTTTTTTGTAAAGGTAATACCGACTAGAATTTGAGAAATAAAATTAGCTAGCATACAGTTTTGAAAATTTCTTTCTAATTCACTTTTTTGACAAAATTTAGCACTGGTCAAATTTTTTATGCGACTTCTTTTCTTCAACAACAAAATATTTTTGTGATTTCAGGTTATATTTAAAAGATCAAAAAGACTTGGTACAAATTTTGATCAATGTGATATGTTTTCTTCCATCTAGAATTGAACCTCTTGTTTAGCACAACTATATTTGTAGTATGAATACCATTGTTCTTCAGCAATAAATTTTAAATCATAGTATCATTTTTCTACTGTGCCTTAGACTCAATTTGAAAATTTCATATCATTGTTCACAAAATATTTATGGTTTTAGTGTTTGAGAGGAAACGTTGATGTACCAGTTTTTTTTTTTTTTCAA